TCTGTCTCTGTCAAATGAATAAATAAAATCTTTAAAAAATATAAATAAATAAATAAATAAATAAATAAGAGTTCATAGGTTAGTGATGTTTCAGAAGTGAACTATCAGTTAAAATAATCTGATTATTTTTGCTTTTGATCTATTAAGGGAAATTTTTAAAAATAGAGGAAAAAGAAAAGTGAAAGTTAAAATTATTTTTAACCTAACTAGTTAGCTTGTCATTTTGAAGTGCTAATTTAGGCAACTAGATAACATGAATAGTTGCATGAGCTTGTTCTTTTGCCTAGTAATCAATCTCGCAGTTCGCTTCAAGGAGACTTATGCAGAATATCTAACATTTGGTGATATTACTTGAGAAAGATGTATTTCTCCCTACTTCTTGCATGAGCAGAATAGTTCTTTAGCTGTGCAGTGCTTGTTGGGGATGAGGAGCAGCAAGAAGAATCAAACATTCACTTATATGGCTATTTTCCTAGTTCTACTGGGCGCGAGAAGCCATGTAACTTGCTTGAGATCACACAAGTTTGTGTGGCCTAGAAAATTGATTATCCATCTTCCAACCTAATACTCTTTTCGTAAGAAATAATGATAATAGTAGCAGCTTATATTTATTGAATGTTTGCTATATGTTAACCAGTAGCCAATCATTTCACACCAACTTCCCATCTAACCTTCATAACTGCTTTATTCTCAGCTTACTGGAAATTGAGGCACAGAGGAGTTTGTACAACTACCTTCAGAAGCTTCAGTCATCCTTTTTTCCCCGTGGTGTTTTAGACTGCAAACAGGCTTCTTTTTCCCAAGATAAGCCAATGCTGATTTACAGCTTTATCTTGGGTATAGAAATAGAGTGAGACGGGACGCCTGGGTGGCTCAGTCAGTTAAGTGTCTGCCTTCTGCTCAGTTCATGATCCCAGGGTCCTGGGATCGAGCCCCGCAGAGGGGCTCCCAGCTCAGCGGGGAGCCTGCTTCTCCCTCTGCCTGCCGCTCTCCCTGCTTGTTCACTCTCTCTCTGACAAATAAGTAAATAAAATCTTTTAAAAAAAGAAAAAGAAAATGGAGTGAATTATGACTGGTCCAAAATCTCATTTTGTGCTCATAGACTTGACTAGGGTCTAAGATTTGTAATAAGTAAATTTATATATTATTTTGTAAAGACAGTTTTTAATTTGTTGGCACATCTTCAAACAGGAACTTCCAGAGAGTCAATGCAAAGCATCCCACATTATCTACAAATAAATGAAGTACTATTAATCAGCGATCAAGAATTTCTCCCATGCCATATAATGGATCAGCATTGGAAGTTCTATGTGGAATGTGAAGAGCTAACATTCTAAAACCTTATTTTTGTAATAATTTATTATACATGTGTTCATGTTATCAACCCACATTCATATCTTATCTTATATGGGCTGGAGGGCCTATTGTAACACACACTTCATGAGTTGCTACTTAAAATGTGTTTATGGTGTAAGAAAAAATATAACTCAAATTATTGTAGTAAGATTAATACCTTTTTGCCATTGAAATAAAGGCATTTTTGAATTAAAACATATTGATTCTCTGGCTTTGATTTTACTAAAATAAATGTAAAACTAATATTTCAATCAATACCTCAACCTTTGTATAAATTACAGTTGTTCCTTAAGGGAGGTAAGGATAAAAAGAGTGATAATTGGTCCGTAGAAGGCCCAGATAAAGTGAATCTACTTAAAACAAGAATTTAATGCCCCAGTACCTTCACCCATATACTTTAGAATTTATCTTGTAACCAAAATAAAAAATTGTCAAAGAGGTTTATTTTAAATTTCATAAAAGTTAGCATAAAACTGTAACTGTGGTAAGTCATAGAACAACAAAAATGAATCAAATGTTGATCAGGGGGCTTATTTTAAATAGGATACTTAACCTTTGACTTTTGCTACATTATCATCATGAAGATTTTCTTTTTTTTAAGAAAGATTTTTATAAAAGAAACTTAGTAAGTTTTCTCAAGGGTCTGCCTTCCTCCTTTGATGGCCATCTTATTCTTTACTTGTCACCATCCCAAGCTCCCAGAGAAGCTTTTTGACTTTGTGGCTTGAGTCCATCCTTTCTTAATTGGGGAGAGAAGTCGAGCTGTGGTAAAAATTACTCTTACAAGTGCTAGACTTTGGGAGATATATTTTTTTTATGTTTTCTTATTGTAAATATACAGAATCTTAAATATCTTTGGAATATATAGGAAACTGGTTAACGGTTTCCTGTGGGTAGAAAAATCATGGGGCTAGAGAGCTGAAAAGGGAGATTTTTAACTACATGTGCTCTTTGGCAACTTTTGAGGTTGATAATATGTGTGTGTTCTTACTATTCAATTAAAAGTTTTAATTATCTGAAAAGCACCTGGAAAGGTTTCATATTAATAAAAGTGTAAAGACGGCTTAGATCATTTTTTCTTCTTGTGAGAGTCCATTGAAAATATTTAGGTTAGAATGCCCCTACATGTTGTAATATTTGAGAACTGACAAGTTTATTATGCCATCATTTTCTTAGACTACACTCTTTTTCTAATTCTTGAATAATGTACATGAGGTGGTCTATTTGGCTTTTATTTAAGGAGATATTTAAAACATGACTCATTTGCAAATATATGTACTAACATGGGAAGTTGTATATATAAATGAAAAAAATGCACATTGTTAAACGGTGGTTAATACAAGTCCTGATTGGGGTGCCTAGGTGGCTCAGTTGGTTAAGCATCTGCCTTGAGCTCAGGTCATGATCCCAGGACCCTGAGATCGAGCCCCACACTTCTCCCTCTTGCCCCTGCTCATGCTTTCTCTCTCTCAAATAAAATCTTTTTTAAAAAAATACAAGTCCTGATTGTGTTAAATAAAAAATGTGCTTTTGAGTGTGTGTGTAATATATATAGCCATATAAATATGCATGTATTTATATCATGTATGCTATATATACTTGATGAGTCATGAAATGTGTACTTGTATATATGAACATGTGTGTGGGGTGGGGGTAGAGGTATGTTGAGTAAAAGGTCTGGAATGCCACCAAGAAAAACATTTGCCATGTCTGGCCCTAAGGGAGTTGGACTGGGAAGGGTGGAAGGATACTTTTGGAGTGTACTTTCAACTTAAGAAAAACAACACATATTTCTTTTGAAACTTAAAAAGTATTTTTTAAAGAATAACTTAAAAAGGTACTTTGCTTAGTTACTATAATTTACGAAAGTCATATATTCTAAGTCTATAGTATAAGAACTTAAAGATCTGACTTTTCATGTTAATGATCAAATTCTTAAAGTTAATTTCCTAAGCCCATTTAAAAAAATGTATATACCAACTGGTAAATAACATAACACCCAGTGCCCTTGAGGCATGCTGAGTGTTGCCCAAACTAAACAATAAAAGGGTCTACTCCAACCAGGGTTGGAGTCCAGAAAGCTATGTTACACCATATCATCCCTGAGAGAAGACAACATTTTGGATGGTTGCTAGATGTTTTGTCTTTTCTGGGTTGAAACCCCCAAGCTTCTGGCCCTAAGCCATATAAGGGACCTCCAATAATAGCTAATAATCCAATCTCCTGCCTGATATTTGTATCCTTTCTATAACATTAACTTCTTGAACACCTCTGGGATACTCCATACCCAACAAGGAAGCCTATTCCTTTCATACAGGTAGTCCTAAGTGTTAGAAAGCTGGAACCACAATGTCCCAGGCCTCACAATCTTACTAGGATAAAAATACTTCTGTTCATAAAGTTGAATTATTATGGCACAGACTTCCACAGGCCCAATTGCTGAGAATGTCCAAGCATACATCTTGTCCTTTTCTCCTCAATTTCTCTTTCATTTGGTTCCCTTCAACTTACCTCCCTGAGTTCAGTCATTTATCAGTGCATGTCTAGACTGTGTGCAACAGGAATCCTGCTCCATTTCAACCCAGTTCTTTACTTTTACTTTATAAAACCTATGGCATGCTATGCCAAATTATTCTTAAAGATCTCTTTTCCTTCCCTGCTGCTGCAAGAGTAAAATGTAGGCCCAACATTAAAGGCCCATGATTCTCTGGTCCTAACATAACCTTCCAGCTTCATCTCCCAATAATCTCTAACCTTTGCTTCACTCTTTTTTTTTTTTTTAAGGATTTTATTTATTTATTTGAGAGAGAGAAAGAGCACAAGAGGGGGGAACGGGAGAGGGAGAAGCAGACTCCCTGCTGAGCAGGGAGCCCGATGCGGGACTCGATCCCGGGACTCCAGGATCATGACCTGAGCCGAAGGCAGTCGCTTAACCAACTGAGCCACCCAGGCGCCCACCTTTGACTCACTCTTAAGAGCAAGTCATTCTTTCCTCTTCCCTGTTAGAGTCCGAATTGTATTCCCTCAAAATTAATATGTTGAAGTCCTAACCCCTGAGACCTTAGAATGTGACTGTATTTGGAAATAGGACCTTTAAAGAGGTGGTTAAGGGGCACCTGGGTGGCTCAGTCATTAAGCGTCTGCCTTCGGCTCAGGTGATGATCCCAGGGTCCTGGGATCGAGTCCCACATCGGGCTCCTTGCTCAGTGGGAAGCCTACTTCCCCCTCTCCCACTCCCCCTGCTTATGTTCCCTCTCTCGCTATCTCTCTCTCTGTCAAATAAATAAAATATTTTTAAAAAATAAATAAATAAAAATAAAGAGGTGGTTAAGTTAAAATAAGGCCAGTAAGGTAAATCCCAATATAATCTATTGTCCTTATATGAAGAAATTTGGACACATAAAGGAATACCATGGATGCACGTGCACAAAAAGACCATGTGAGGACACAGTGAGAAGGCAGCCATCTGCACACCAAGGACGGAGAGCTCAGAATAAAACCCACGCTGCCAACTCCTTGATCTTGGAGATCTATGCTCCAGGACTATGAGAAATAACTTTCTGTTGTTTAAGCCACCCAGTTTCGGGTATTCCTTTATGGCACTCCGAGCAAGTTAATACAATCCCTAACTCTCCCATACATTTGCTTATACTACCTAGAATGTTCCCTCTCCTGTCCATTGATGTGTTCTTTATTCTTTGAGCCCTCTCCTCATATAGGACCTCATGTAGTGCGGTCTCAGACCACCCCGATCCAAGCACTTAATATTTATAGCTTAGTATTATTAGTTTTCATAGCTTTTCTCCCCCAAGTAGCTGGAAAACTTAGCAAGATCAGGTTTAGAGTTTCATACTTTATTTCCTATAAAATATCTCAAACATACTAGATGCTTAAGAAATATCTACCAGTTAGGATGTGTCAGGCACAATAACAGAAAACCCTACTCAAAATGGCTTAAGCAATAAGGAAAACTTATTATTTCCTGTAAGGAGTCCAGATGTAGAAACTTCAGGGTTGGTTAATTCTTCAACTCAACATTATCACTGTTGCTTTCCTCTTCTAGTTCCCTCCACGGTGCCAAGATGGCTCCACTGTTGCAGGCAGATGGACATGTAGAAACAGCGTCATTAGAAGAAGAAAAGAAATACTTGCTTCCAATGCACATCTTTTCTGAACACCACCACCACCCCAGGACATTGTGTCTCATTGGCTAGAATTGTACCATCTGCCCATTTGTACATCAGTCACTGGCCAGGGAAGTGGGGTTAACTTGACTGGCTGAGAGGAGTAAGTATATGCCCATGTGCAGGAGAGTACTCAGCTAGCTGTACAGATTCCACACTCTGCCAGTAAAAAAAAAAAAAAACCAAACAGAAACAAATAAACATTGCTAAGAGCAATATTTATTGAGCACTAAGCAGTCACTGTTACAAGCACTTTCAATGTATTAACTCATTTAATCCTCACCACACCCTATGAGGTAGGAGATACTACTTGCATTTTATGAATGAGGAAAGAGAGGTATAGCATGAAGTAACTTGGCTCAAAGTCACACAGCTATCAAGTGGTAAAGCCGGGATTCAAACCTGGTCATCTGGCTTCAGAACTCATGCTATCAGGCATCATATATTTCCTCTCTCTCAACCAAAAGTTTCTGCCTGGATATATATGTTAAATGATGAAAAGAGTGTTGACATCATTCTGAGTGATGCTGACTATTGACTTCTTCCACCTACACACTCTGAGGGTCAGTGTTTGCTCACTTCGGTGAATGACAGGTAGGGGTCAGGCCAGACAGAGGTGGAAAATGGAAGGCAGAAGTCTTACTGGATGAGTTGTGATATGAACACATTGGTATCTGCTTTTAGGCTCTCTCTTTTTCAACCTAGGGCGTTCCAGGTATAAAGAATGAGTAAAGCTAATTCATCTGAGATATTGCCCAAACTCAATTTTCATGGGGAACTATCTTGTTGTTTTTAAATGAATGCATGTGCCCCAAAGTCCTGGACTTTAAGTCCCTTTGGATTCTCAGTACTTTGAGGGGTAACAGCACATACCCTCCATGTGTGTTTCTTTGGACTCCCTCTCCTATTTGTCCTCAGCTCATTTATGTTGAAGCCTAT